CTCTCTCTCTCTCTCTCTGTAGCGTGCGCGCGATATATTTTTGTATGTATATTTGTATGTTTATTTAGGTTTAAGGCATATATTGTTATGTTTGTGTATATATAACTTTATAGATTTAGACATTGTTTTATATGAAACAAATTGTAATGTAAAAAATTGCTCATTTATAATTGTGTACAATTGTATAAAGTCAGATAATTATATAAAAATTGTTCATATAAAAACATGTATAAATTTATAAAATTATAGAACTGTGTAGTTATGCAGATAGTCAGTATGCTCAAGCAATGTACGGAAAATCAGTCAGAAAGCTACTCCGATATTTTATGATAAATTCCGAGAATACAGTTTATCATGCGAGAGATTATAACTTTTTCTCACGGATACGTGCGATGACACATTATTAGAGTAAAGGAATGATGATCTGTACGAATATCTACGCAATAATACAAGTATTCCGAAAACCTATTGTAAAACTTTGGTAATTACCTATTAAAATTCGGTTGAGCAGCGCCAAGTTTTTGTACTTTAAAATAAAATATTTATTTGTATTAAATTGTCTAAACCGTGGGCAACGGGCGTCCGCGGGCGCCCAGCCGGCGGGCATGCCCCCACTCCAACGGGCAACGGGCGTCCGCGGGCGCACAGCCGGCGGGCATGCCCCCACTCCAATCATCGCCCCACCATAAAAATTACGTGAAAATTCAGACTCGTGGACTTTGCATTGCAATATCTCTACTCGTGGGGCACGTAGGAAAAAAGTAAAAATACTTTTATTATGCAAATCAAGTCGTGTACTCGCGTAAACTTACACGGTCGGTCTCGCGCGCGTGGTACTAGCTTCACTTACACTTGGCGCGAGACACTACCGTGTCTCGTGATGTGCATGTACATAAGACATACTACGAATATCCGCTATCTGCATATCCGATTGAGTATATTCTATGCATATATGTTTCTGCAAGTACTGTACATATCAAATGCGTATGTATATTGTATGTACTATGGATATTCATTATACGTATATCCATTTTAGTATATTCTACATATATAAATTTTTGGAGCTTCTACTTATATCCATATTTGTGTGTACATAAGATATATTATGGACATCTCATTTACGTATATACGTTTCTGAACATCCTATGTATGTCCACAAGATTCAATAGATGTACTTTGAATCTTACGGATATCCTGTGTACATTCAGGGAATATCTGTGCTGACTGGGTTCTGCCTTAAGTAACGTCACTTCTGCTCGTAACTTGTCCATTTCGGTCGGCTTTGAGGCACTGGTAATGACGCTTTCATCACAGTTGTCCATGAAAAAGCTGGATAAACATTATCATATAATTAATGGTATTTAAGATAAAGCAATATACACAGTGTATTAAAAAACCCCGCAATAAGGATATATTGCCGAATTGAGTAATTTATACTGAATAGATTAAGTTATAATCGGAAACGAATTCAATTTATATGAAAATAATTTTTAAAAAATTAATTTAATGTCAAGCGTTAAAAGCATATTAATATAAGTATATTAATAGAAGTATATTAATATTTTCTGAGTGGATATTAGATACACCGTAGAAGAATTAAGCCGAAAAAATTAAAATCTAAATGTAAAAAAAAACAAGTACCGTTGTCTACGTGTCGACAAAGGGGTATTTTCGTCGCTGCATATTATTGCTCCTTCTGGAGTAACTTCAGCGCTTCTTTTTGAATGCGCCTTGCCACGTTGTTTGCGCTTTCTTAATGCGCTTGCTCTGACATTGTGTTCACGCGTAGATTTGAATAGCGCGCTAGTAGAGGCGCCCGCGTAAGCAAATTTAGTTACAGCGCTACCGATTAGGAGAGGCGCCAGCGTAGCCAATTAATAGCAGCGCTTACAGCGCTTCCGGCTAGAGTCAGAGGAAGATTGCCGCTCGTTGTCTTGTACGCACTATAATAAAGAGCAAAAGGTTCTCAGCTACTGAATCTTGTGATAGTACCTATCTCAGGCGTGTCCTACCTGTTTCACCATTCATCCTCTGAAATTCACGGTCGTTAAGCCGTAACATTGGTCCTTCGAGCCGGATAAAGCAAGTAAGAGACACTCAATATCGCAAGATTCAGTTCGCAATCTCGACCTGCTCGGGATACAGAATGGCGGCCCTTGATAAATTAATCAGGCGTCGAGCCTACGTGAAGGGACGTGTCACCTCGATATCAAATT